AGCAAAAAACAGGCTTACTATTCCACTAGAACTTTTAGGTTCCAAATACCTATAGGTTTTGCTAAATGGCTGATCAAGGTACCCCTTCCAGTGAAATGCTGAGAAACTTCAGCCCAAATGTCTCTCAGTGTCTAAAAGTGAACGTATAAGTTTCAAAAACTCTGATGAGATAAAATAACAGAAAATTATGTGGGCCAGAGGCCATTTCTGGCAGGCCAGAATATTTAAAAAAAATTCTATTATTTCACTGAGGGAAGAACAATTCAAAGGTGGCAAGAAATAGGAGCCAAGTTAACACCATCCATTGTCAGAGCAGTGTAACCTGTATTACAGCAGAGAGAAATCTATTCTGAGGAAATCTCAGAGTGTGGGCTGTCCCATCTCACACATGATGATTTTATCACAATAGACAAACATGTGAAGGAAGCCAGGTGCAAAGGCCAGGGCTGAATTCCAGGAAGCAGAACTTTAAATAAAGCAGCTTCCGTTTTTCTTTCAAATTATCTCTCTCTTCCCCCTTCCACTGTGAAACAAAGGTAAAAACAAACAAGAAAGCCCCACTGTTTCTAATGTCTACAACTTTACTTGAGAAACTAAGAATATCCCCAAAACACCTCAAACTCATTGCTGACCCCTCAGAACCATAGAACTGACCCACCAGCAGGAAAACAAAGGCTTTAAATGACATGAGAAGACAGCCCGTATTTCAGTTGGTGGATTCCAAGACAGGCTGTTTTCCAAGGAATGCTGAAAGCAATGAAGACCTTCCTCCAGAACTGACAGAGAACACACCTTCCTCTGGAGCAAGCAACTGGATTTGCACGTGTAGTTTAATAAATATATTTGTTAAAACCATTCATTTAAGCCAATGCGTTTGGCACCAATAACCCGAACCTGGGAGTGACTACCACTGTGTGTCTGTGTCTGTTGGGGGGTAAGGGGCGGTGGGGTGGGGAGTGGAATCCATAACACAAAGGCAGGAAGTAGAATCTATAGTGAGAAGAGCTAAGGTAAACAGAATGATAAAATGGGATGACAGCACCAGAGGTTAGGTGAGCACACTAACTTTGCAGGTCCTGTCTTACTTGCTCTGATACTAGGTTTTCGGTTATAGTCACACATAACAGAAAATGAGAATTATCTCATCGCAAATCACTTGGTTATCAACTACCGTTTCTGAGTCCTACCGCTTTAAGGCCCTCTGGTTGCACAGTCTAGGTAGCTGTGCTGCTAATCCAAAGGCCATACTTTTCTGGCAGTTCAACTCTCCGAGCAGCTCTGCAGAAGAAAGATGAGCATTATCCTTTGCCACGCACAGCCTTTGAAAACCTGCTAGATGGTCGGCTATGAGTTGAATGCAACTTGATGCCAATGAGTTGAGTTGAACTGATGGGCTGATGAGATGATCACCCTCTCAAATCCTTCTATTATCCTAAGATAGACTTGTCATCCCTCTATTATCCTAGAATCGACTGTCATCTCTAACTCAGACCATGGAAACAGAAAGTTTACATCTATCTCTTCAGTGAAATCACAAGCCAGTGTTTCATATCCTCCAGACAGTTCAAACCTTCTAACTCTTCTAGTTCCATTTTTAGAAGATAACTTCTCTCCTCTCAAGGATCCTCGGATTCATTTAGACAGAGGACAATAGTGAAAGGTTTGTTTGTGAAATTATTTTCAAAATGTGTATGAATGTAAAAGATCTATTACTGAAAAAGATCTTACAAGCCAGTTTACAGATCACTTACTAGTCAAAGCCTGCCTTAAACCCTTTCAGAAAGTTACTTATGACCTTTCTACAGAGTCTTAATAGATAGCTGCATATTCAACTTGGTAACTCACTCCCCTTCTGTCTCTCCACAGTACACAGGCAATTAAAAGAATTCCATATACAGTCAAGAATTTTACTCTAATGGTGTACAATCTATATACTTAGGAAGTGATAAACTCGAATTGTTTTCTTAACACTTTTTAAAGCACTGCTTTTTAAACTCAAAGAGGCTATGTAGTGCAGTGTTTTAAACACTCACCTGCCAAACAGCCACTCTATAAGAGACATGGCAGTATGCTTTCCCACACAATACAGGCTTAGAAGTCTTATAATGCAGTTCTACTCCATATGATAGATGTGTGGTTTGAACTTCCATCAATTCAGTAACAATAGGTTTGGTTTCTAGAATTTCTTAAAGTTACTAGGTCACTACTAAATTCTACCCTATGTCTCACTCCCATCACAGGCCCAAGACTTAATTAAATCTCAAGCATTCAAGACTGAGAACCAATTGAAGGAGATAAACTAGGCTTCACCATTTTTTTCCAAGTAGCTACGGACTCAGAAGTTGGTCCACAAAGCAAAATGCTTTTTGAGGTTAAAATAGTAATGCTAGTATATAACCATTAAACTGGGTTAACATAATCTAGGACATAATAATCCATGAAGTTTTGGAATTATCTTATTTATCCATAAATAGCTAAGATATTTCCCTACGTTACTGAAGACTGTTGATTCTTTTATCTGAAATCAGCGTTTCCATACATCATATTAATCTGATTGCTTTTAAAGTGACCCAATTCCGAAGGAATTATGTTCCCTACTTTCAGATTTAACAAAATGCTGGATGTTACCATTACCCAAGTTTTCAATGTTAGTATCAGCAAAATAAGGTTGCAGAGATTAAAATAGTTTAAACAGTTCAAATGACATAAAACTTAAGGTGAAGAAAATCTGTTTCTATAATCTGTTTAATGTTTTAATGTTATGTTTCTCCCTAAAGTCATGTTTTGATCATGTACAGGTCTGAGAACGTGCTCGTAAGTATATGCAGCACTAAGCATTATACTGAATGTGAAAGACAACACAGATCAGAAAGGCACATACTTCCCCAGGCACAGGCTGCAGGTGCTGCAGTCCACACAAAGCCAAGTATTATGAAATATTATAATTTTTCAAGTAAAACAGCATATGACCGACTACATACTATCCTTTTTATATTAAGTTACTGGGGTTTGACTGCTTAATAAGCTAAACAAGTTAAGTATTCCTTTTGATCTAAGAGTGCTGTCTTGGGGGAAGGGGTGTCACTAAGACCCTAACACTTCATATTTATGAACTGAGAGCATATGACCCTCTGTTCTAGGCAATGACTTTAAAAATGCTGGGTTGAAAAAAAAAATAAAAGAAAAAAAAATGCTGGGTTGGAAAACCACCCTGGGAATGATCTTCTCCAGTATCTATTAACTCTCAGCAGCATCTGGGAAAAGAGGAAAAATACTACTTTTTTAAGGGACGAATTTATGGTTCTTAAATTCTCTACCACAGATCCTTTAATCTGTGGTATGACTTATACAGTAACATGTCATCTAGTTACCCTTAATTTTGTGTCAATAACCCTTTAGAAAGCAATGAAAACACAATGGCAAAGACATATTCAATCAAACTGATGTAATGTGAACACTGTCCTCCGTCCTACACTTTTAAGATAGTAGCTTAAAAAAAAAGATAGTAACGTTAATGCTCCATTCTTCACCTTATTTAGGCTAAGACTGATACAGCTTGCTTGTTTGAGCAACTGTGTGTTGTTCCTCAGATTCTAAAACATCAAACTTAAAAATTCTCGATAGGTTATGTGCATAATCAATAAAGTATGGGACCATTTTATTCCCATTGTGAACAAAGGAAAGTCAAGTCAAAGACGGGTCACATTATTTCATAAGATCACACAGTCAGGAAGTCACTCTGTTCTAGTTTATATATAAATTAACATCCATATTAGTCCCACCATCCATCCTATCCTGTCTGATCCTATCCACCTCAACCTCTCCCACCTGTTCATGTCATCCATCTCAATCCACTTCATTAACTCTTCACGACGATACACTTACTTTAACGAGCACGACCTCAGGCATTATTCTGGATATGTGGGTGATGAGGACACATAACGTTCAATATGAAGAGGACTTAGGAGTTTTTATCATGACCTTAAGACAGGCAGTTTCTAGATAAACTACATCAAGTGCAAATTATTTCAAGAACTCTTCTAATGAAGGTGTATGTTCCAAAATCATTATCTGGTAGATTAAAACCTTTCAGGTGCATATGGAAAACTATTAGCAGACCAGAGGCAAGGCTTTCCATAAGCAGAACCTGGTTTTAAGACATGGCAAATTCTGCTTTTCCGTATCCACCATTTAAATCACATTACTGGGTTTAATTTCACATACTGTTGTGACATATATACAGAGTAATTTTTATTATTACACAGACTTGCCATCTACACATGGTTTAAAACTTCAACATATATAAATGTGAGCAAGACACATGTTTCTGGAGTATTTAGGTTTGTTTGTTATTTATAAAAAACCAAACTATATAAGGGAGCTCTGGTGGCCTACTGGCAAGAAGATGCTCTGCAATCCCAGAGGTATGTGGTTTGAATCCACCAGATGCTCTGCTGGAGAAGGAGGAGCAATCTCCTGTACCAGTCAGATATGATTTGATGGAACACACATGAAAAAATAAAATTAAAATAAATAAATTTTTTTTTTATTTTATTATTTTTGTGTGCGTGTACCGTCAAATCAGATCTGACAGGTCAGGAGGAGATTGCCCCTCCTTCCCCGGCAGAGCATCTGGTAGATTCGAACCGTGCACCTCTGGGAAAAATAAATAAATTTAAAAAATTAAAGTAAAAAAAAATTGTAAAAAACCCCACCAAACTGTATGGTGGTTGTTCAATGCTACTGAGTGAAGTTCAACTCACAGGGACCCTATGATGTGCACCCTGTTCTATCCTGTGCTTTACAGAGTACCCTGCAAAGGGAACAAACCCCATTTTATCCATTTATGAAGTTTTTGATGACTAAGCCTTTCATAAGGTTTCAAGAACAACAACAATCCTTATTCTCTATGGAACCAAATCACTGTAAGAAGCCACATGACATTCTGAAGTCATCGTAGAGAGGAGGGAAGGCTCCATGTTAAATGCTATCACACTTACTGTGGTGTCATTGCTGGTGACATAAACCAGGACATCCGAGGAGTTTCTTCCTTTGATGTATCGGTAACAGTTCCAAACACAGCTAATCAGGTAACCCTGAAAGGTGAGTAATGATTATTAGATTTTTTTTAAATCTTCAAATATCAGGGGATTTACAATATCATCAGAGACAGAGAGACATATTCTAAAACCATCTGAATACATATAAAAACCAAAAGCCTTTAAAATTATGAATGTTTGCTAATGATGTTTGGTGGCAAAAGGTATTATAGCAGTCTTGTTCTATATATAAAAATAAACCCCCAGAAGGTGGAGCTGTGTTTAGAGAAGGGAAAGGTTGAAAAGAACCTAGAAATTCTCAAGAAAAGGTAGTTAAAATGCGCAATCATCACAAATATTAACTGTAACCTCACTCAATTCACAGATCAGACTTATACTCAATTCTTACCATATTTTAATTCTCTTTGAAAATGTTCACTCCACATGATTATCTGAGATTTTATTAGTCAAGTTTTTAAAAAAAGAATCCACAGTTAAGTGTGCTTCACAGCCAAAAAAATTCATTAAAACATGCATTCTCACAATGAAACAAAGAATTCCAAGGGAGATATTTAAAATTAATGTCCAACACACAGACACTCTGGAAACAAAGCATGAATTCATGGAAAATATTTTAACTATGAAGTCTTTGCACTTGCACTGCAGTCATTTGTAACTAGATTAGAATATTTTTAAAAATCTCTTTCCAGGTTTAAAATTCTTCAATTAAGAGGCTTAAAGATATGGAGAAAAATGGGACCTTCCTTCGTTACTGGGAGGAATGTAAAAATGGTTCTGTCACTTTGGAAAATAGTTCAGTGGTCCTCAAAACATTAAATATAAATGACCCGGCAATTCCACTTACTCGTAGGGATATATTCTAGAAAATGGAAACCTTGTAAAACACATTAAAATATGTACAAAGATCATGGCAACACTGTTTATTCAGTGAATAAGTCATTGGATTAAAAACAAAGCAAAACCCTGTTTTAGTTTCTATAACTCAAAGTTAATCAATTAATGAACAGATAAAATAAGGTTAATTCAAACAGCAGGATTCAGTCACAAAGAGAATAGTTCTGATACATGTTATGAGAAGGCTGAACCCTGAAAACATGCTAAATAAACTAGGTTAGGTACAGAAGAGCACAAAATCCTTTTTCTAGGAAATGTCCACACCAGGCAAATCTACAGAGACAGCAATTAGATTGATGGTGACTGCTAGTGGGTTTCATTGGAAGAATTAAAATGTTCTCAAGTTGTATCACCACAGAGCTGAGACGACAGAATTCTACAGAGACAAGACTTATGGTTTCCTAAGGCTGAAGACGCCAAGTTGTGGGGTCGGCGTGGTGGTACACAGGGAGTGCTGCTAATGGGTTTCTTTATGGAATCATAAAGACGTTATAAAATTAGATTGTGCAACCACAGAATTGTGATTGACAATTTACAGAACACACTAGAAACCCTGGACTTGTACATATCAATGGGTACTTTTATGATACGTGAATTACTGATCGACAAAGCCTTAAAGAAAAAGGACAATATTCAAGATTAAAAGGAGTACATAAAAAAAGTACACATCAACATTTTTCAAAGAGGAAAGTAAAATATCCTGCTGTCATTTCTTAAACACAGAATGCTGGCTTAAGCTGTTTTCAAATTTGATGGTGTATACTGCCATTCTATAAATTGTTTCTTAAATGACAGTAATTTTGAAATTAAGGAGAATCAATGAGAAAAATGGAAGGGACATCTTTTTAGACAATATCTACAAACATTCCCTCAAAATTTGTTACATCAATTATGATACTGCTTTTTTAATTTAAATACCTACAATTTTGAGAGTTTCAATACAAATGAGAAAAAAATGTCTAGGCATTAATTTGTGGTTTAGACAGGATTATTCATTCATCCATGGATACTAGATGCATTAAAGCAAGAAATCTTTTTGATGTGCAGCCTCTAAAACAAATCTGTAGCTGAAAGAACAAAGCTAACAAAGACTACACAGCTAACAAAGGGTGGCTGGAGCTTCCCGGACCCCCATCAGCACCCTCCAGGAGCCCACCCAAAACACAGGTGTTCACGTACGAAACACTTCAGCATGAGGGAAACCTCTGCTTGATGTCACTAAACCTAACAACTCATTTCAATGACCTCATTTCTTATTTGGTATTTCTAGAATCTTGAATAGATAAAGGAAATGAAGATGTATAATATGTATTTAGATGTACTGAATGACTCATTCATAAAACAGTAGAAATAAAAAAAAGGTGGACATTTTCTTAGTGTCCAACAATATTTACTAAATAATGATAAATCTATAATGGACTACAATGCAATCACAGTTAACAAAAAGCATGAAAAAAGAGACTACTACTTCTCTTTGTGTGTGTTTTATTGTAATTTTAATGTAAGTTTACCAAAAAGTTGGGTTTTCATTCATTCATTGCTGCACACTTTCCTCCCTACCCTACCTCCAGTTCAGGTTTTTTTAATATTCATTCATTGTTGCACAATTTCCTCCCTCCTTTCTACCACTCCCGCAGTCTACTTTGCAACACAGCTCTTATTCTGGACTATGGTTACACAAATAATGCCTAATCATATATTCCTTTTAAACAGTTATTTCCTTCATCTGTTCCAGTGAAGTAGTCATTAATTTATCCCCTCTTTTTTAAAATTTCCCCTCACCTCCACATCAGTCCTATTTTATAATAGTGGTATTAGGCAGTATTTGTCCTTTTATGACTGAGATATTTCACTCAGCATAAAGTCCTCCAGGATCACTCAGGTTGTGTAAGATTTTATTAGTTGCCAGGAGAAAATAAAATAGATGAATGGGACCTTCTAAGAATCAAATCCCTATGCGCATCCAGAAACTTCTCTAACAGGGTAAAAAGGGAAGCCACAGACTGACCAAAGTGTTTGGTAATGACATGTCAGATAAGGGACTTATATATAGAATTTATAAAATACTTGAGCAGCACAACAAGATAAGGGTGAATAATCCCATTGAAAAATGGGCACAGGATATGAACAGACACTTCACCAAGGAAGACATTCAGATGGCCAACAAGCACATGAAGAAATGTTCAAAATCCCTAGCTCTG